GATATAATTCTCTACTCAACTTTTCTCATTTCGCCCACTCTTAGGAAAACAATTCTTCATTCGCCCACTTCAGTGCATAATAAATACCTCCATCAATTTTATGCAATTAGTTTTCCGTGTTCTCTTAATTCCATTATGTTCAAATTTTTATGCTCCCTCACACTAATGCAGAGTTAATGCTGGCAAAATTCTATGCAGGATTAGATGCTAATAAATTTAATGCAAGAGTTGAATATTTAATGTCTGCTCATTTCCGTGTTGGATTTAGTGATCCACTCAACTTTTCTCGCTTCGATCACTCTTAGACAAAACGAATGCCGCTCTTCAGTACATAATAAAATGGCTCACTTAATTTTATGAGCTCATATTTTTGTGCTTTCTCAATAAACTCAAATTTTCATGCTCGCTTACACTAATGCTTATTTAATGCACTACAAAAAAATAGTATATTTGTAACGGAATTCTGCCTCTAAAGTTCACGTAGCTAACGCAATTTCATCCGTAATTTCGTCTCTAATATCATTAGTAACGAAAAATGTAGATTTAAGAACGAAAAAACCTCGTTACAAAAATAATATTTTTTTGTAGTGATGCTGGAAAAATTCTGTGTAGCATTAATTTCTAGAGGATTTAAAGCAGGAGTTATTGGTCACTGAAATTGATGCAAAATTAATGTCCGATGACTTTCTTGTAGGATTTAATTCTTCACTTAAAGTTTCTTGTTTCGCTCGCTCTGAAAAAAAAAAAAAATGTTCCGCTCGCTCACTTCAGTGCATAATAAATGTCTCGCTCAATTATATATGATCAGATTTCCGCGCTCACTCAATTCCACTTCGCTCAGATGTCTACGCTCGCTCACACTAATGCAAAGCTAATCAAATGAAACTTTGTGCAAGATTAATTACTGATGGATTTAATGCAAGAGTTATTTCTCGCTGAAACTAATGCAAAATTAATGTATGCTAACTTCTGTGCATGATTTAATACTCCACTAACTTTCCTCGCTCCGTTCAATCTTAGGAAAAATAAATGTGCCGCTCGCTCACTTCAGTGCATAATAAATGACTCTCTCAATTATATTCGATCATATTTCTGTGCTTATTCAATTCCACTATGCTCATATTTCTGTGCTTGCTCATGTTGATGCAAATTTAATGTTGCCAACATTATGTACAAGAGTAATTGTTGGTTGATATAATGCAAGAGTTATTGCTCGCTGAAATTGATGCAGAATTAATGTTCATTGTTTTCTATGTAGAACTTAAGCCTCAACTTAACTTTCATACTTTCATCGTTTGGCTCACTCTTAGGCATAATAAATGCATTGCTCTCACTTTAGTGGACAATAAATTGCTCACTCAATTATAAACCCTTATATTTCTGTGTTTGTGCAATTTCACTCATACTTAGATTTCATGCTCCCTCACATTGATGCAAAATTAATGTGCTGCTCAAATTGACTTTTCTTACCCACTGTGTCAATTGACTTCCTTGTGTGTTAACTTTATGTTAACCGTTGACCTATGTCGTTGGCTTGTCTCTCGGGTTATTTTTTCGCTCTGGATGCCATCTTTTCAATCTAGAAGCCTCTTATTTGGCTTCTAAGGTTCTTATATATACATATAAATTTATAGATATAAAAATTAAAATATATAATTATTGTCGTATTAATAAATATAATATATAAATATTATTTGCACGATAAAGTAGATATTCCGGTCATAATCACATTATAAAAATTTATTAACATAAATTATAACCTTAATAACTAAGTTATAGAACGTCAACATATATCGTACCTCGCGGCGTCACGCAGTGTATATATATATATATAACAAATACAGGTTTTATTCGGTATTCAAATGCTTTTCTTGTGAAAGAACTATTATCTTGATAAATTAAATGTTGTTGTTGCTGCATAAGTATTACTTTAGTATAAAAATATTATTTTTTTTAATCTTATTTTTATACTATAAATATTATCACGAATCAAATTGATCAATAATATAAGTATATATAAAAATAAATATAGAATAAACTAAGAGGAACTAAGAAATAAGAAAAAAATCAATAAACTAACTAAATAGAACTAATGAAATAAAATAATATAAATTATTGGAAGCAAAATCAAACCTAAGTTAATATTATCTCAAGCATAATCCAATACACTTTTAGCACCAAATCTTCTACGAAAGCACCACTTCGGTTGACACTTTGAAAACCTCTTTCATCTTCTCCAAATACACAAACTTAAAATTTTATACTTGAACCCGAGTTTTAAAACTAAACTGCATTAAGCAATGCAATGAAATTATATTAGATGAAATGCTAACTTAAAATAGAATTTTTATCTATCAAGTATAACTTCTATAAGAAAACAAATAACCATACATGATCAAATATTTAAAAAATTAAATTTTAGTTATTATGTATTCTTGTTTGTTATGTCTAACATACATCTAAATATACCTATTTATAGTAGTGGAGAAACTGGATAATGGATAGATTTTGCCATATGAAATAGATTACATGAATAATCCTCCAATGTAAATAATTAGCCTAATAGTCATTCTTGCATGTGAAAGAAATATGAAGTTTGTTAAAACATTTAAGTGGTCCTAAGAAATGTTACCCTATCTATGCATATGCAATTTTAAGGCTATCTGCGTCAACGGGCTCTCTCCTATGCAGCAACTCCTACGTCACCGTCACATCACTTTTTGTATATTAAAAAAAAATAAAAATTGCTTCTAGCTTACTTTGCACAGAAACCCAGAGCAATTTTTTTTTTCTTAAATATTATTTATTTAGGTATTTATTTTTATATTTTTGTATTATATAAAATTTTATTTTTTATAAATTGATATATATTGATATAATTTTATTTAAATTTAATAATATTATTAATTATTTTGATATAAATTAAAAAATATATATATACTCTGTAGTGAGGTGAAAGAAAGATAATGTGATATAAAAGAAAAAAAGTATGAGGTGAAAATTAAAAGAAACTTTTGGAGAATTTTTTTTATGCTGATGATCTAAATAAGTGATATAATAATTCAACAAAACATTCAATTTAGCATATTTTTAGGTTTGCACAACTTTTTTATTAGATGTCCGACTGAAACGTTCCAAGCTCTAACGTGGTCTTTACTACTATGGCACCCGATCTAGGCAATCCATCTATGAAATTGCGCACGTTGTAACATGTTGCTTCGGTCGAACTTCAATATTATAATGTCTTCATCGAGCATGGATTTTTGTCAATACATGCTTTCACTTTGAGCTCTCGAAATTAGTTCGATTGGAACCTGTAGAATTGAAAGTCTTATTCTTTGGACATTCATGTCAAATACCATGTTATTCCACCGTCTTGTTTTACTCGAGCATGGTCAGGGCGGACGCAAGTAGGGGACAAGGGGGAGGGAGAGGGAGCCTCCCCTACCCTACCTCTTTATAAAAAATATAATTAGAACAAATACAAATTATACTAAAATTTTATATAAGGTGTGTTTGTTAAGTTTTGAATTTTGGATTTAAGTTTTATATAATAAAAAATTTAAATTCGAATATTTTATTGTGATATAAATAAGTATTATTTGATATTTAAATGCAAGATTTATTTTTTTTTATAAATAAAAATCTTAGAAAAATTCTAAGGAAATAAATAGGAGAAAGAACAATCTTTGATCATTCAAAAAGTGAATTTTTCTAATAAAAAATTGTATTCATCTATTTTAAATAATATTAAAATAAATATTACAATATGCAGCTGATGTTGTTATTTTATAAGATTTTTAAAACAAAATATTTCAAAAAATTGAATTATTTAATATTAAATAGATTGCATTATTTCAAAAATTCTAAAAATTAACTCCCTTTGTCCTCACCCCCCATGTTTTTATTTGTTTCAAGTCTATTTAATATAGCTATTTATTGAACTTATTGAATGAATTGTTTTATTATTATTATTATTATTATTAATTTATAACTAAATTGATTTTAATTATGTAATTATGAGCACAATTCCAAAACTGACTTCCAAGATTATTATTTATATAATTAATAACCAAAAAAAGTAAAATATTCATTCTATTACTTTGAAGTTGAATTAAATAGTAGTTTTTGAATTAAAAATAAAGCTAAAAAAATCATAAAGTATGGAAAACGATACTATCGAAGATCATTAATGGTAATTAAGAAATATATTATGTAATTTTAATCCTACAAAACAATATATGAAATTTAAAGTTTCTTTATATTTTGTTTAGTTATCAATGAATAAATATGCATGACTTGCATTATACACTAAATGGACATCTTATTATACGTGTGATAAAAGATTAAAAATATAGACACCTTCGTTAAATTTATTCTCATTAAATTTATAGCATGATGTGCATAACCTATTTGAAATACCATGGTGAGTACGATGTCAATTCGTATTTTCAGATAGTGTTCTAATCGGATTGAGGCATGGGATAAACAAAAAAATTGTCGACCCGAACTCGAAATTTGACTTGAAACCCTAGACTCGAACACGACACAAATTCTTTCAGGTCGGGTTTAAGTTGACCTGAATTAGTTTCAAGCCACCCGAAACCCGAACAAACCCGGCATAAATAGACTCGAAAACTTTAAAAAAATTAATTAACCTAAAATAAATTCATTTTTATTTTAACTTTTTTATATTATTTTATATTTAAAATAATATAATATTATAAATTAAAATAATAATTATAAATAATTTCGTATCAACCTGAAACACAAAACCTAATATGATTTTTATATTTCGGATTATCAGGTCAACCCGAAACACGATCCAAACACGACACAATTTTGTTTTTTGTTTCGGATTCGGGTTGACCCGATTTTTTTCAAACCTGAACCTGAAAAATTTCAGGTCGAACGGGTTCGGTTTTTTAGTCGGATTTAATTTTGACACCCCATTGGTGAGTTATACCAGTTAATGGTCCAAAATGCAACTCCTCCAAACCTCACTACTGAAAAGCTTTAGGCATCCAACAAAAACTAAACTATACAATCAAAACAACACTACTACAAAACTTCCAACCACACCTCTCACCTGCTCGCTCTACTAGATTCTAATCAAACAACAATAAATTCTAATCAAACTATAAACATATAATACATACATACACACACACATATATATATATATATATGCGCGCAATAGCTGCTGATAATGCCATCTGACAGACTCGAAGGACATGATCCGGGCTATGTACATATTTAACGGTGACTAATCAGTGGTAACACAAACACATTGTGTGTCTATTGCTACCCTGATTTGTCACCATCGAAGATGGCAAAATTAAGCATACGTTACCATGACTGCGCACAGAGGTTAGGTAGTTGGGACCGGCATGTGTTTGTCTCCAGTGCTGTTGCCCGATGACAGCAACTTCCTCTGCAAACAATTAAGCAATCGATACCAGAAAAGGTTAATGCATTAATGGCATGCACGAGAGTCTAAAGATAATTTCCTTATGAAGTTATCTTCGCAAAGTCGAAGGGTTTACTTTAACATCCCAAGGGAGATGCAGAGCAATGTTGGCATTTCATTAACAACCTGTGTTCATAGAAGAGTAATAGCACCTTTTGATGTAGTTGCTACATCAAAAGTAAATATCTCTCCATCTTGGAATAGTATTTTAGTTTATCTACCAAAAGTGTACTCATTATATTTAGTAACAAAATACAATTCTTTTTAAAAAAATTTCTTACACTAATTCTATTTTAATCCACAAATTACATTACTAACCCTATAAAACTTTCAATTATCCATATAAAAAGTACAAAAATATATTATTATAACACCAATTTTCTTAATCTGCATGCCCAAAAATTTTTATCATACTTTTTAAGATGCAGGGAGTATTAACATATTTCTTTTATTAATATAATTTACAAAAATGATATCATAGAAAAACGGGGGAAAAAATTTGTAAGAAACAGCATGTATGAATAGTTTTCATAAGAACAAGTAGAAGGTGCTTAAAGTGTATCCTCACAATTGTGCCTTTGTGAGGATACAGTGCTCTCAAAATTATTCGAATTGTAAGCGAAACAATGACCACTTCTGAAAAGAGTATAAAATTTAAAACTTACATGATTCTCAAATTCAGGGCTCATCAAATTGACCGTGAGATTCTTCATCAACATTAGCACCTGCACAGTTAAGATCAACAAGTTGATCTCATGTTGCAACTCGGATAGTTTAATGAGTCACATGCCCAATCCTTATTTTTACTTCTGTTGCGTCTCTCTGATTTTTCTCATTTATCCTTATTTTCTTTATATAGAAATATCTTCCAATTTTAGGAGGAATATAATTTCAATCAGGGAAAATAATCAGCATCAAAGGTCCTTGTCATCGTGTCATGTCATCCAAGCATATATTTCATATATCCAGAAAATTTAATAAATTCATCTATTCGGCTCACTGAAGTGTTCCTCCTAACCACTGTAATTCTACTCATAGCAAGATACTCAGGAGCCAGAACCAACATCATAGGGAGGTTGGTTAAATTAGTATAGCTAGATCTGTAAAACAAACGAGTTGTTCACAAAGTTGGCACAATTTGGCTTCTTCAAACTCCACAAAAGTTCATTTGATACAATAACAACTCAAACACAAACACAAATGTGCTTGTTATGTTAACAGATGAGTTTGAGCCGCGTTCACAGAGAAACTTGAAAGCTAAGGTAGAGTCACAGACATAGGAATTTAATTAATTGTTGTGTCGAGGATAGGTTGCTTCCCAGGTTGGAAAAGCCCCTCCTCCGGACCCTAACTGTAAGGGGAGGATGAGTGATACCAAGGGAAGTTACATTTGAAAATGTTCGTGAAAAATTAAATTAACATATTTATATTTAAAAATAATTATATCATAATATTTACATTATATTTTTACATTAACGATAATGATATCAATTAATTAATTAAATCGAATTTAAAGGTGAGCTTAAATTTGAAAAAAACTTCATAGTAGGTTGAATTGAAACAACACACACAAAATAAATAAATAAATAATATAAAGAATTGCTTGATAAGCCCTTAATGAGGTTAGATCAAACAAGATAAGGCCATGCTATAAACAAAAATTTCTAGAAAGCTGAAGCTAAAGCTCAATTCTGGAGAAGGGCATGAAAGTAGATACACAAACTCAACAACAGAATTTTGACTCACCGTCTCAACGTTTAAAGGGTCCATCTCTCTTAGCCTTCTCAAGTGATCACTTGCCGTTGGATCAAAGACACTCCCAATGAACCCATAAACTTGAGCAAAATCGGGCATGACTGGCATCAACAATTAATTGAGTAAATATATAACAAAATTTAGGGACATAAAGCCACCAATAAACAATAATCCAATAATGTATAGAACAGAAACATGGAATGCCATGAGGTCATTCTTTCCCTGTAAATATCAGTATGCCTGAAATTTATAACATATGAAACAAAATGCACAAAGAAAACAGACCCCTTGTTGAATTGCACCGCCTAGCTTTTCTTTCACTATGTGCTTTGTCAGGTGTCCATACTCGAGGATTGCTTTCATTGCTGCTGCTGCTGTAAGTGTTGGCAAAGCTGGAAAATCCAATATCCCCTAGAGTGCCATGTAAAAATTATAGCCAGTGAAATCTAGATAAAGAGAAGACCAGCCCCTTCCACTAATAGAAAATTACCTTTCTGAATAGGTGTCAAACACACTGGCGGCACAGCATTGTAAGTCCAAGGCAACGGTGCACTGGCCATTTGATTTTCAGGTATTGACAACGAATCGGGTCCCAATACATATCCAGACTCTAGACGAGCAGTCGAAGATTGCTGAGCTCCTGCAGCTGAGAAAAGGTAGCACAAGAATAGAGCAAAATTAGCTAAATGCCAATGAATACTTTCAAGGAAGTACTCGCTGCATAGAAATTTAACTAAGCAGAGAACCATTTTTGGGGGCCTTCTGTGGATAGGGATGGGCTGCTTTTCTCTTTGGACGAGGGGGAGGTACGTGCTCGCTTGTTCCATTCTTTTGGACTTTCAAGAAATATTTCTGAGCATGACTGCGAATCTACAAAAACGGACTCTTTAGCCTCTGGATAAGCAGCATATATGAGACAGGAAAAAGTGTCGTTATATGTTTATACTACAGCAGATATCACACAGATTTGCTAATTTATGTATGTGTGTATGAATATGTGGCCACATATTGAAAGTGAATGTCCTTATTCGTTAACATTCAACAAAATTCTTACCAGAAAAGCAAAGAAAAGATGATCACAACAGAGAAGAAGCACACAAAATTGGACCATCATCAAAATAGATGACGGGGAAAACTATAGCAACAGAAACAAGGCATGTATAATTATAGAAACCAAAGGGATAATAACCACATGCCTCAGCCAGGACCTCTCTTACCATGCCCCAACCTGACCACATCTACCATCACACAATTTTTTCGACACATCCTGACACGGTTAAAACATGAACGCAATGAGGGTGTCAGAATAATTATCAATGACCTTTTTAATGGACATGAAGAGATTAATTGATCAATATCTAATGCATCAGAATGTAAATAGGTTTAAAACCACAATGTACTGAAAATCATAAAATTCTTGATTACCTGGATAACAGTCTTAGACCCAACGTAAGCTTCGATCTTTTTCCAGTCACGATCAAATCTGAAAGTCGATATACTAAGAACATCAGCAAATTTTCTCACCTAATCTCATCTCATCAAATATCATCCGCTAATTACCTCAACAACAGAATAACCATACAAAACGCAGATCAAGGAATTAAAGCCATCAAAACCTTCCAATCTGGGTGTTTGCATAAAAATTATTTATTTATTTCACCCAGAGGAAATAATTCCATCCACAACAACGGTAATAACACTGACTCTAGACATAAATTTCACAGCGAGATGTTAATTATAACCAATTCATAGAAACAAATATTGGAGATAGAACACTTACAGATGAAGAGCTTCGAGAAATTTGTCATGCTCCTGCTCGCTCCAGCTCTCTCTGGACTTGGTGATCGTGTACGGCTTCCGGATCTTCTTACTAGCATCCTCTACGGCCGAAGCCACATTACCGACAGGAGCCGTGTGAGGCAAATTACCGCCGTCTGTTTCCATCCCCGGAAGCTTGATCAAATCCCCGCCCATTTGGAGGCCGTGGAAGCCACAAAAGTCTTGATCTGGAGGTGGATTAGGGTAAACTGACACCATGTATGATCAATTCGAGAAATCACCTCGCCTCGATTCCAAAACCGCCAAAGCCAAAGCCAAAGCTAAAATTAAACAAACCAAAACAAAAGATCAGCAAAAGGAGGATCCTCCACGATTAGAGTAAGTTCGAATTTCGATTGGTGTTTGGAGGGTTCTTGAGAAATGTTTGAAGGCCGTCTTTTTCAGTGCGATTTATGGAGGTGACTTGAATCGAGAGAAGAGAGTGGCTGTGGTTTATCTATCTATATATATATAGGGAAAAATAACTGAACTTTGCGTCGAAGACATCGGAACCGTACACGTGGCTATCATCGGTGATTATGAGTATGTGAGGTGGCAATTTCTGATAGGACAGCTAACCACGCCGGTGGCAACAGTTTGGTACTGCTCGGGTTAGTTATACTTCTGACTTTTGCTATTACCTCAACTTTGACCACAAGTTTTTCATTATTTATTTATTTATATTTTTTAAGATTCAATTTCTGGGGTTACATTTTTATTTTTCCAAAATGAAAAGTAAGTACATTAAAATTTATGTTCTCTTGTGTTTTAATCTTTTTATAATAATAATAATTTATTATTTCCATTTGAAAATTATATAAAAATTAGTGTGTGTTTGTTTTATGAAATTGCTGAAAAAAAGAAAATTATATAAGATATAAAGAATTATATAGAAAATATAAAAATAATAAATATATGTAGTGTATTAATTTTTGTTAAAATAACGTGCGGAAAAAAATTTGTGAAAAAACCAGATTAAATTCTAGTTGACATATAAGGATAACATTTCTATAAAGTGGAAAAGAATATTAAAATTAGTTTAATATTCTATTTGAAGCACCTATAAGGATAATATTTTTGTAAAAGAGATAATAAAAATTAAAAAAATAATAATAAGAAGGAGAAAATTAAAAGATATTATAATATGGAGATGATAGGTTTTTTTTTTTTTTTTTAAATGGTTTGAAAGATTTTTTTTTTTACATGAAATATATAAAATTTGGTAGGTAATATAAGAATAATGAATATATATAATATATACTTATTATTTTTAAATATGTGTTTTACTTTTAACAAAATAAACAAATCAAATATTTTTTGTATTTAATAATAATAATAATAATAATAATAATAATAATAATAATAATAAGGTAAAATTGCTTATAACTCCCATGTGGTTTCAAAATTCAATGTAAAATCTCCCTATACTTTAAAAATTGCATGGTACCCTCTTATACTTTTAAAAACATTGCATGAAACCCTACCACCATGAAACTTTCCTCGTGTAATAAGAAGATAATTTCCTATCTATATGTTTTGCATGGCGGGGGGTTTTATGCAATATTTTTGAAAGTATAAGTGAGCGTCATGCAATTTTTTAAAGTAAAATGAGGATTTATGCTGAGTTTCAAAACCACAAAGTAGTTTCATACAACATTTTTTAAAGTATAAGAGGACGTCATGCAATTTTTAAAGTAGAGGGAGAATTTACGCTGAGTTTCGAAACCACAAGGGAGTTATGGACAATTTTGCCTAATAATAATAATAATATCCCTTGATTAAACATTGATGCGACAAGTTAGAAGTTTTTTTTTTTTTCATGATGTTGGAATCCGCTTTCGTTACCAGAAAGTGTGGACTAGGTAAAATTTTAAATTAATTGGGTGTGTTTTTCTGAGGGATTGGATTTTTTTTCACTATTCATCTAATTTTTTTCCCCAAAAACATAAAATCAAACACCTATTTTTCATTTTTTATATTATACTAAAAATCAATTTTACATTCAAAACATCACATCAATACCTATTTATATCACATCATACAATTATTCAAATTCAAAATTTTTACTATTCAAATTCCAACTCAAAATCCAAATCTCCAAACAAACAAACACACCCAATATAATGAAGAGATGCTTATATATACTAAAAATCGTATCAAATAAGAAATTAATTGAACAAACAAACAAACTTTGAATAGATATTTTGAGAGCGGGAGATTAGGTGAAGTAACAATTAATGAAAGGGAGGCATTCGAATGATTTGATTCATTGTAGACCTCATGTCATGCAAGAGATCGTCCCTCTTATTAAATGCTCATAGTTAGGTTCATGCTCACATGTATCAAAGAATGAATGAGATCATAAACTATGGGTGTGTTTCTTTATGTCGGTTCGGGAAAATTTGAGTTTGAGTTTGAGTTTGATTTTTATTTGAATTATACGATAGTTTTGAGTTTTTGTATTTCTATTGTGTGTAAATTTGGTTTGAGTTTGGAAAGATTTGATATTTATTGATTTGACGAATAATGAATATAATAATATAAATGTGTATTAAATTTAATTGATAAAATTAATAGTGGTATGATTTTATTATAAATTTATATTATATTCAACATAAATACTTTTAAATTTTTATTTGTTTATATTATAAAAAAATTTATTCTCTACAAAATGACATATATATTGTATATATATTTTTTAATCTAATATTATTATAAATATTAAATAAATTATTATTTGAGTATTTTTATTTTTTTTTAAAAAAAACACAAACAAACACATCCTTAAAGTTGCCCTCTCTGCAAACTTTATGGCTTGACTGATTCAACATTGTGCGCCCTTTAACGTTCTCGCCCCTTCGTCGGGGAATCCTACCTCGACAGCCCCGTCCTTTCTTAGGTGAGTGTTTGCTCGTCGTTTAGGTCCGTGAGTGAGATTTTTGCTCATTGATCACCTCTGGGGTTCTTCGCATCTGGATAGTACCAAGACCCTTGTGCCCTAACTTCAACTATTCCCTAAAGATGGGGAAACTCCTTTATGTTGAGATAGTACCTTGTATAAGTTGGGCTACTTGAATAAGCGGAATTCCGGATCCAATATTGCACCTTGTACATTATTAGGCCAGGACAATGACATGCCCACGGCGAATTTGATTCACTAGGGCAGCGATGTCACAATCCGATAAAGAATCTGACCAAGAAACGCGATGTGTTTGCACAGTAAAAATTCTCAAACCAAGGCTGGAGAAATAGACTCATAATATATATCTGAGTTTGAGGGTGGGGTTTGGAATTGGAAATAATAAAGAAATAAATAAATAAAAATTGAAATTGAATAAGTATTTTACAGAAGTGGTAACGTTTGGATATTGGTGGTCGAGATCCTATCCATATATATATATATATTATTAGACTTGGATTCGATTATACCCAAGTATGGTTATATCTAGTCTAGTTCGGTTTGAGTTGGATCTGTTTTTAAGTCAAGACCTAATCTGATCCAAAAAATAATACTTGACACATACTTGATCTTAATATTCATATAATTATATCCGAGTCGGATCTTGAATTTACATAAATTCATAGTCATTCGTACTTAAATTTACTTCATTACTAATTTTAATAAAGTTAAAATATCAATATTTAACTTTTATTCTACATTTAATATTTATTTACAACAAATATCATTATCATATTACACATCATTTACATTTTTTTTGTATTCCCTTTAAATTTTCATAATAATCTTCAACTATTTTATACTTTTCAATAAAATATTTATATTCTTTAATTTTCGTACTAACAAAAAATAAGCTAAAATTATCGAACGTAAAAAGTAATTTTTATAATGTAAGATATATAACTAGTATTTAATTTAATACATTTTTTTAAAAAATAAAAAAATAATGGAAATTCATCGAAAAAACCTTATCAAACACATGGATAAATACTACCTTACATTTGTTTGGTTATAAGTTTGAAAGTTTAGTAAGTTATGAATATTAAAATTTTCAGTTTGAATAGGTATTTTATGTAATATTAAGTATTAATGTAAAAACTTTTCATATAGAATTAATTTTTAATATAATATACATAATAGAAAATAGATATCTAGTTAAATATTTATTGAAGGAAAAAATATTATAAATAGTATAAATCTAATTATATATATATATATATATATCTACAAACAAACACAACCCTCGAGTTCTACTAACTTCCAAAGATGGGTAGGTTTTGAGATTGAAAACACACGAAAGCTATAAATGGAACTCAAACAAATGTGGAACAATATCTAATAAATTTGATTGGATATTTAATTGATGCATTCACAACAACAAAATTTTTGTAGGACATGCGTGAAGAGTTTGATCAAACCAAATAACTTTTAATGATGATACTATCAATATTAAAAGTAAAGCTTTTAGTATATGTCTAAAAAATTGTCTTAGGATACATACCTTATGAACAATGACGATCAATGTATCATTTTAATACAATAAAACAAGTAACAAGATGAAATTCGAAAATTTATGAAAAATCATACTGGAAATTTGTAAAAGTAGGATTTTTTTTTTTTTTTCAGAAAAACATTGAGGATTACAAACCACAAAAATAATAATAAACACGAAATATAAGCACTTCGAAATTCTTCTTTTGTGGCACTTCTATAGACTATTTTATTTAATACATAAGGAGACAAATTATTAATCCCTTAATATGCTACAAATGTATTTTTTTTTTTTGATAAATGAAAATTCGCAGTCGCTACTCGAAAGTGCAAACTAGGTCCAGCAAAACAAGTCATACTAGGCAAACCATGTGTGACAGATGAACCTGAAGGCGTCAGGGTTTTAACCCATGGCCTCACAGTCAGAAGTTCACTCCCCCCACCACCGTATCATCCCTTACGGGACAACAAATGTATCTATTTTATCATTATGGATTGTTTACCATCAATATAATTATTTCATAATTTAGTAAATATGATGCCACATAAAAAGTATTATTTATTAAATTTTAAAAATAAAGTAAAAAAAAAAAAAACAATTTAATCTTGGATAAATTTTCAATGAGAAATACAAAAAAGAAAGAGGTTGAAAAAAGCATAGCCAAGTCGAGGCCCATGACCTCTGCCAAACCCAAGCCAAGTCCAGACCCATCTCGTTAGGTGTTGCACATGTGTGTGGTTTTTCTTACACAACACTTGTGTCTTATATTGTATAAGTGATTTTCTTCCTTATTCTTTAGACAACATAATGTCGAGTCATATATTTACTTCATTCTCTTTTGAAGAAAACAGAATTTATATTCGTAAAGGTAGAGGACTTTTAATGGTATATAACGTAATCTTCTTGAAATTACTGTTAGAGATTGATAAATAGAATGTATATATATATATATATATATATATAATATACAACGTTGT